ATCGCCTATAACAAGCACGAACAATATGGCACGGGTGAAAACTGCCAAAACGGCCTTATTTAGTTATCGAGCTGATGACGTCATTCCACCGGACATGTGAACACAAAGCGTTTGGCTTGGAGGTTATAAAATGGTAAATATCTCGTTAACGATGCTTCAAATCGAAAAATAAACCAAAAATTTCCCCCCTACAACCTCCTGTCGCCTATACAAAGCACGAACAACATGGCACTGGTGAAAACTGTCAAAAGGGCCTTATTTAGTTATCGAGCCGATGACGTCATGCAGCCAGATCGTGTGGTGGTGACGTCATCTAGGCAACCGTTGTGGTGCGGAGTTCGGAGCGTGGGTGGCTAGGGGTAAGGGTGCGGAGTGAGGGGTGTTGGTACTTCATCGAGGTCTTGTTACATCCAGACACAAAGCGTTTGGCTTGAGGGTTATATAATGGTAAATATCTCGTTAACGATGCTTCAAATCGAAAAATAGACCAAAAATTTCCCCCTACAACCCCCTGTCGACTATAACAAGCACGAACAGCATGGCACGGGTGAAAACTGTCAAAAGGGCCTTATTTAGTTATCGAGGTGATGACGTCATGCTACCAGATCGTGTGGTGGTGACGTCATCTAGGCAACCGGTTAGGTACGGGGTGCGTTTGGTTGGAGGTTATAAAATGGTAAATATCTCGTTAACGATGCTTCAAATCGAAAAATAAACCAAAAAATTCCCCCCTACAACCTACTGCCGCCTATAACAAGAACGAACAATATGGCACGGTACCGTGGTTAAAACTTCTAAATAATGTTTGTTTTTTAAATAAAACCGATTTGGAATTTAAACAATCTAAATAATTTTGAAAAGAGATGTGATGTTTAACAACAGCCTTCTTAACGCCTTTGGATTTTTTGGTAATCCGCCCATCAGCAACCCTATTAGCATATACCTTTGATCTCAAACCAACAAATTCGACCATTATATTTCCACAATTCTCATCTTTCATTTTACCTAAAACCGCTTTATTCTGCAAGGGTATGTCAAACCGATTATCGGGACTGTAGTTAGATGTGTCAAATTTATTTAAATTTAATTTCACATCTCTATATATATCATCAGAATTAATTAATACAGTGAAACTATCGGTGTCCATATAGCACAACCGAACGTCCTCGCCATATTTAGGTTTTAAGAAATCATAATAAAAATCATACATTAATAATTTTGAAAGTTCTAAAACAGTAAAACCAACGTATAGAGGTTTATCGTAAACGACATGAAGACGATCCATTTGAATTGCCGAAAACGTTTCTGTGAATACTTTAATACTTTTAAAATTTAATTTTGCTATTAAACTCCGAGCTCCTAAACGAGGTCTACCTGCGGCTTTACCAGTATGCACATCATCCCAACTGGTCACTAATCTTACATCGACTCGCTTATCGACGTTTTCCATTGTCTTGCCGAATACGGAATTATTCATCAATTTAAAAAAATCTTTTTCAAACGCATTCTTTGCGGATTGACGTAATTCCGTATTTTTATCGATGTAAGATTTCAACCACGCAGACTGTCTGAACGATAAAACTCTATTAATTTTGCGAACTTTAAGACCGTGAGCAACGGCTTGTTTTAAATTTCTATAATGGATCACATAATTTTTCTTATCAAATAAATTCGGAATTAATCTCCTTTCACTTTCACATCGATTATTGGGGGCAATTAAATTCTCAGCTAAAAACGGGAGATCGTTGTGTAAATCGTGTAAAGGTATTCAATATCTACGTCTAAAATATATCCAAAATCAGAATTATCAGGTATATTATTAAAATCCAAATTTTGTATGTCATTTTCAGGTAACCATTTAAAATTGGAAACGGGCATAAATTGGGACATCGCCCACCCATACAAATTATTAGCGTCCCAATACATTAAAAAGTTTCATGGTAAATTGGGATTATAATCTTCCATATATTTATTATTGGCTTTAGCGGACCGTAGAGAGCATTGGGAAATGCCACCACGGATACCTTTCTTAATAAAATGGACTTGATCTATATCCGTCAATAATTCTAATTTAATTTTGGTGAATTGCAACATTGCATCCCAAGAAAGTCCTGGGGCAGTATAATAATGAGCGGGATCTAAATCGTAGGTTTTGAAGCAAACTTGTCTGAATTTTTCAAATACATCAGCAAGTAAAAGGACATCTGTTTTTAGAAACAAATCCGAATAATCTTTTAAATTTTGGCAATTAAATTTTTCCCACACAGTTTGAGCATGGGAATACTGCTCATCGGTTATATCTTCAAATGATAGTTTGTTGAAAAAAGCGTTTTTAGGTGGCAATGAAGTTACGTTTAATTTATCGAGTGAATCCATATAACCGTAGGGGAATATTCCTTTCTTGCTCAGTAATCTAAACTGATCATTGTGTGGAAAGAATTTACGTATATTTATTAAATCAAATTCGTCAAGGTTACCAGCTAAGGAATCTAATGATGAGGCCATAAACCTAAATGAATCTACAAATCTTAGTTTAAAAAAAGTATTTTCAATGCGGCCCCCCTCCACTTCCCCTTTATCGACTAATATCCGTTTACTGAAACTGATGTATTTTTCTTTATTATTAGGTAATACATCAAGCCCATCTTTATCCGCATCGGCCATTTCTTTAATAAATAAATGGCAATCGTAACCACTAAAATTATGAAAAAATATTGGAATAAAATTTTGAAGTTGAAAATTTAAATTACAATTTGTATGAGCGGGCCCACGGTACCTGCCCCTTATGTGACAATGATCGTGAACCTTAACCTGATCTGAAGTGAAAGGATTTTGGCAAATAAAACAATTTTCAGCCGAATCGAAATTCCGTTGCTCATCGACCGTTAAAGGCAGCATTGGTTTTACGGTTTTGAAGTATTCATTATAAATAAATTTGATATCATCAATTAATTTAGAGATAAAAACTTGAGGTGCATCCGAACCCGTATACGTTTCAAATTTATTGAAGTTGGAATTAACGGTGGAAACGATATAATACGCAAAAGTATATGGTTGATGCATCTCAATTTTTTCCGTGAAAGACTTGGAGGAATGTGGCTCACAATGATCGATCGGTTTTAAAATCGATTCAAAGTCGGCGTATATGACAAGGGGGCCATCTGAGAGAATTTATAGTTATTAAATTCTAAAATATTTTCAGCAGTTTGCAAGCCAAAAAAATTCGGTTTAGATTTTAAATTTGTGGAAGGCACAACTGTCTTTATATGATTACAATCATTACTCTGATGTGTAATTAAATGCTCGACTGATGAGAACCGTGTTAAACATCCATCGCATAGGTGGATACAATGCTAGCGTTTTGAAATATTACTTGATATTAGTCTCGAAAGATTTTTAATTAAAACGAAATGACCCTTTCCGGTTTCATATAAATAAAGCAGATTTATATGAATATCCCGTCTTTGTTTAGTAAAATAAATTGGTCCTTCCACTGAATAACCTTTTGATTTCTTAACTAATTCGTAAACATTAATACTTAAATTATTTAATTTTTCCACTTTAACAATGTCTTTTAAATTAATGGGAAATGTAATCCCTTGCAAATTAAGTACTTGGCTATAATGAGGGTAACTCGAAGTCCGGTCTTGACTATGATTTGCGTCATGAAGAGCCGCCGTCAAACACCACGCAAGACATGCATCGTCTTCAATGTTTTTAATGTTGATGCATGCCTTTTTCATAATAATTTCATGAGGTAAACGAATATATGATGACCCGGGTATAGGTTCAAATTTATTAAGGTTTAACAGGAGGTAAGATATTGAGTGGAAAGCCCACCCAGACCCACGCTCCTGATACTCCTCGCTTTGAGTTAAAATATCGCGAGTCATCTCATCCTAAACCTCATTCAACACAGTAGTTGCAGTGATAATTTTAAATTTGGTGTTAAAATTTTTCTCCGATGTTATAACTTCTTCATTACCATCATCATCATACCCGGACTTAATAAAATTTGCCAATATCTCAATCTGAGCTTTTATCGAACCATTCTCATTGAGATGCTGTTCAATCAGTCTATTAACTGTTTCACAACATTTTAATAGATATGACGGTATATCATCCTCAGATTGAGCTTCACTAATTTTATAACAAACTACCCTATTTTTATAGCAAGACTTAATTTTTGCAACGTTTTTATCGATTAATTCAGCATGCTCCGTTCGAAGGTGGGTTTCAAGCGACATAAGTGTTGGTAAAAACTCACCGCAAACTTCGCATGCCCGACCCCTGTTCTTGGTAGCTGGAAGTGGTGGAGGTGTTGAATCTCGACGACGTTTACTAGATGGTGATGATGATGATGTATCAACCGCCATCTCTAAATTCGATTGATGTTCAATAGTTGATGGTAGCGGTGACGCGTTGACGTCTAGGTTTTATAACTGGTACATGGACTATTCTTTGATGTGTGTCCAAGTTATCTTGCCTCGACAAATATTTCCCACATATCGAGCAATTAAATTTGAGTTGACCATGCTTAGTTTGTACATGTCGGTCGAGATTACGTTTTAACGTAAAAGATACTTGACAACGTTCACAAGTAAGCATTTTGGATTATATAAATTTTTGGGAATACCAAAACAAACACTTCGTATAAAAAGTTTTTAGAAGTAATAGATGGAACTATGTTGTTATCACAACCGCGAATGAAGGTTATCTGCGTTTCAATATATGATGCGCATACTTTAACAGGTTGACTGAAGACCATACCGTCCGAGCGTCGCCGACTAATGCCGAAACACTCCGATCGGAGTAATCGGCAATCAACCTGCTAATATTCAAATTACATAAATTATTATTGTTACATAAAATGCAAATTAAGCAGTTTTATTAAATCACTGAGGTTAAGTAAAGTTCAATGCACTGTGAATTATTAGTACAATAGGTTATTTTCGAACGCCCCGGAGTAAGGGAATCCCCCCTATACCGTCTACTCCTATTCTCATATAGTATATCCCATCCGCTCTCTTTCACCCATCGCAGTATTTCTCTTCCTTCTCTATTCAGCACCTTATCCTTGAACGTTCAACCAATCAGAGCGCAGCATTCTCCAAGAACCCTCTTTTTGGCGGGAAATTTGAATGAGATCGATGGGCCTTATCACGATGACGTCATCATCGATACATCGAGGTCAGACATAAAGCGTTTGGTTTGGCTTACCCTCTGGGTGCTAGGGTGCGGGGTGCGGACGGGTAGGGTAGGGTGGTTCAACCAGAACATAGCATTCTCCGTAAATCCTCTTTTAGGCTGGGAATTTGAATGAGGCTACCGCCTTATCACGATGACATCATCGTCGATACATGGAGGCTATGATATATTCGGACACGAAGCGTTTGGCTTGGGGGTTATAAAATGGTGAATATCTCGTTAACGATGCTTCAAATCGAAAAATAAACCGAAAAATCCCCCCCTACAACCCCCTGTCGCCTATAACAAGCACGAACAACATGGCACGGGTAAAAACTGCCAAAAGGGCTTTATTTAGTTATCGAGCTGATGACGTCATGCCGCCGGATCGTGTGGTGCTTGGTGGTGACGTCATCTAGACAATCATGTACAGGTTAGGTGCGGGGTTCGGGGCGTGGGCGGGTAGGGGGGGCGGTGGGTGAGGTGCGGAGTGAGGGATGTTGGAACTTCATCGATACATCGAGGCCTTGACACAACCGGACACGAAGCTTGGAGGTTATGAAATGGTGAATATCTCGTTAATATTTCGACCCCAATGTTAAATCTTATGGGATTTTGGTCCAGAACGCCCATAGCTATACTACTGATGAGTTTCGTTACGGTAGCAGTGTCGTTGATGATAACACCAACACTTGCAGTGTAGAAAATGCTTCGTATGCTGGCCCTAGCAATAGTACAGCGGGAGAACCTCGCTTTAACGAATTATTTGGTCTTGGTAGTAGATTATTAAGTAGTATAGTTACCAAATGTAGCCGCCCCTTAACAACTGTAATTGCCGAATATGAAGCGTCAGCAATTAATTGTTATAAATAACTGCGAGTACTTCGATATCGGGGAATTATAATTCAGACTCTACGAAGTACTCCAATCGTCGACGCGGTGTTCGAGTTACCCAACCCGCCGACCCAACCCAACCCAACCCGCCGAGGAATTTGGATCCTCTCCAATTGCCGATCGATTCCCGGGACGACTCAAAAGAGAATCAATTACAACAATTTTATTCATTCTTATCGTACTGTAAGTATCTTTATTTCTGCCATCCTTTTATTCCTTTTCATTTTTGCGACTTAAACCTAATACGCTCTGGACAATTTAAACGACTTACTGGAGGCAATCAACGAAATAGAAATGGCAAGAGAAATATCGAAAGTAGATCAAGATTTGATACCAGTCTTTGACGGAGACAGAATAACTCTGAAGAGTTATATTAATGCCTGCGAATTCTTAATTGAAGAGTATTTACCAACAGCACCTGCAAGACCAGAAGAAATTCGCACATCTAAACGACTCTTAATGATTTTTATGGTTAGACTACGTGTCAAAGCACGCGAGGCGGTGGGTGCAAATAAAACACCCACCACTTGGCCCGAGCTTAAACAAATTCTAATTCATTCATTCGGTGATAAACGATCCGAAGAGGTTCTTGTTTATGATTTGAATACTTTGGTTCCACAAAAAGAAGACAGTACAGCAAGCTACGCTAATAAGATTAAATCAACTCTTAACAGTCTTCTTTCTAACGTTAACTTGGAAGAAAACAATGTAGCGATCCGCAATCTCAAACAAGAGCAATACAACCAGACAGCTCTGAGAACTTATCTATTTGGATTAGACTTGATAAATCCCAACATTGGTTTAGAAATTAAACTACGACAGCCCACCGATATTGAGACAGCAGAAGGTTGCGCCCTGGAAATTACTATCTATAACACACAGAACCAGCGTTTTCTTTTTAATACAAGGCAGTCAATTGCATCGCCAATGCGTACCATTATCAGACCACATCCCATGGTAGCTCAATGCCCAAACTCGATGCAAAAACCTCCCATGGTTATGCCACAACAGTATGGACAGCCAAATAAATTTATTCTGCCCGCAATACTGCCAGCTCGTCCAATGTTTTGTCCCAGACAAGAAAACAATCAACCATTTGTGAGAACCCCGGCACAATATCAACAATGACCATTTTGACCAACACCGATGGAAATAGACAATAGTAACAAACGTCCAGCCTCATCTATCAACCGACCAGCCTCAAAAAGATAATGGATGTCAAATAATATTGAGCTTCCATCAGAAACAACCGAAGCCAATATCTATGTCCAATATCCTGATAATGACCAAACGGACGATAACTATGGTGAACGACATATCGATGAAAACGTCGAATACACAGAAGACGTTGAGACGCAGGATTTTCCCCAGGGCACGTCTCAAGAGCAATTAACGTAACGATTTCGAACAAAAGCTATTCACAAAATCCGTTACTACCCTACGTCGAATTTGAAGGCTTAAGATTTCTTATAGATACGGGAGCAGAATGTTCTCTTATCAATTCGAAGTTATATGAAGGTGTTAAATCGGTTTACGCATGCGATACTCAGGAATTTATTATAAGAACACCTCACGGAGTTGAAAAAACAAGAAGCGCGGTTTACGCACCGCTTCCTAACATCTTTAAATCACCGGAATATCATTTATTTGTATGCTTTGATTTTTCACGTACATTTGATGGTTTATTTGGTTTCGATCTGTTAACAAAATTAGGAGCTTCGCTTGATACAAAGAAACAAATCATTGTTACAGATAATACAACAATTCCTTACAAAATTGACAATACTCAAACAATTAAACCATACTCGCAGTCATTAATGAGTTTTCAGGTCACTAACATTGAAAATGGCTTAGCTTTGTTTCCTGTAATGAAAGATGATACAGACAACGTAATTATCCTGGAAGCACTCGTCGAAGTAAAAAACCATGAGACACAAATTTTTGTTACAAACAACTATGGAAACCCGATCCGTCTGAACCCGATGCCTATAGAAGTGCAGCCAGTAAGCGAAATTGAAGAAGAAATAAACATCGGTTATAATTTTATAGATAAAAACCATTTAGCGGCACTTCAAGAAATAAATGTTGAAAAGAATTTGAAATTGGATCATCTAAATTTAGAAGAAAAGAAGGCTCTTCAAGCATTATTATCGAAATAAAAACATTTATTCCATATAGAGGGACAACAATTAACTTTTGCTCATAAAATAAAACATCATCTTAACCTAAAAGATAATAGACTCATCTATGTTCGAAATTATCGTCAACCAATCGAGACAAAAAAGGAAATAAAACAACAAACTATGGAACTACTACGACAAGACATCGTGAAAGAAAGCGTTTCGTCTTGGAACGCACCTGTCCATATCGTAACGACCCAAAAAGACGGAAGAATAAAAAACCGAATGATAGTTGACTTCCGACGACTAAACGAAAGAATGATAGAAGACAAATATCCAATTCCAAACATTGCCGATATATTAGATAAATTGGGCAGGGCAAACTATTTCACCTCTCTCGATTTGGCATCAGGCTACCACCAAGTCGAAATGGAACCGGAAGATAGAGAAAAAACAGCGTTCAGTACCGAACAGGGCCATTTCGAATTTAAAAGAATGCCTTTCGGATTGAAAAACGCCCCGGCTACATTCCAGCGTCTAATGGACGAAGTTTTACATGCTTTACTAGAAGACACATGCCTGGTATAGATATACCAGGCATCTGTCTGCTGGCAGTGATGAAGAGTAAATAACGATATCATTGAGATAATGATGTCGTTATTTACTCTTCATCACTGCAAGAGCATATACAAAAACTAATTAAAGTCTTCGACCGTTTAAATTCAGCTAATTTTAAAATTAACTTACAAAAATGCGAATTTCTCAAGAAAGAAATTAAATATTTAGGACATATTATAACAGACAAGGGTGTTAAACCTATCCCAGAGAAAATTAGAGCAATCATACAATTCCCCATACCGAAAACAAAAACCGTAATCAAAAGTTTTCTTGGACTACTAGGATATTACCGTAAATTTATTAAAAATTTCGCCAAGATTACCAAGCCATTTGCATCTTGTCTAAAGAAAAACGCCAAACTCAACATCGAAGATTCAACATACATAGTCGCATTCGAACGGTGTAAAGGATTACTTACTAATGATCCTATACTAAGATACCCAGACTTTACCAAAGAATTTATTGTGACAACAGATGCGTCAGATATCACTCTTGGAGCTGTTCTTTCGCAGGGCATAATTGGAAAAGATCAGCCTATTTGTTACACGTCTCGAACACT